TCAAGCAAAAAACAAAACAAAGACTGGATAAACACCTTTTTGTTCTAATATGAACGATGTCTACTTTATTACTATGCCAATGTTGCTTCTAAGATTATAATTTATCATGAATAAAAATGTGTTACTGTTATTTTTATTGGATTATTACTTTCAAAGCAACCTAAATGCATTTCTTGATTATTTATTCAACAGCACAGCTATGTTCAATTTCGATATTACTGTAGTGAATTCAAAGTCTTACTCTACTGAATTATAGGTGGATTTTTGGATTGCCTTAACCTCTCACCAATGTTTTTCTCAATTGTTATGGGTTGGTTTTATTATTATTAATATCAAGTGCATCATATATACTTACTGAGTTGTCAGCTCACTTTTTCTCTTATACTTCTCTTAATGAGATTTCCTCACATCGTGCTCCACACCCACCACACAACATAATTTCAGGCTAGACACAAAATGATAAATATTTATATTTTATCAAGTGGATGATTTACTTGTAGAGGAGTTTCAGCCATTTGATCGATTTGCATATTATATTCTGATTTGCTTATTTTGCAAATGATCATAGTTAGCAGATAAGTTCTTCATTACTAGTGTATTTTAGCCAGGTAAATACTGAATAAGTATAAGGATTATTTGCTGAATATTTTCTTATAAATAACAGTATCGATTTTTTATTAATCTTGAAAGCAAAACGATTTTAGTTTCTTATCAGTGTCTTTTGTTTCACACCACATGATTCCTATGATGCTTTAAATAGTGGATGTTTGTTTTATTCTCCAAAAAATCGATATAGACTAAATCTTGAAACTTCAGAACTTCAGTTTTCTACAGAACCAGATATCAAAAATACATCATCATCATCATCAATTATTCTATTTATCATGCATGTATATTTATATATTTCATTTATTGACCTTACATTCATTATCTTACTAACTCTTTCAGTGATATATAAGTCATTTAATTCTTACTGACTTAGTGACTTATTAGAAAACCGATTATTTTCTTTCAAGTATAAGCTTGAACTGTGTCTCTAACTGTCCTATTTACATAATATTTTAAATTACTTGAATAAAGTTTTCACCAAGATATTAATCATAAATAAACACAAATAGGTTTTTTGTAGAAAAAACCCATATCGAATTGTGCCATTTATTTATGCAAATCAATATTCAATAGACATCTTGCTATTATGTACATAATTAATTGACAACTGATAATTAACTTCGAAAATCATGACAAAGATAGAATTCACTAAAAAGAAAAAAAATAATCATTATTGGTAAAGCAATTAACTAGAGAACAGTTTGCGTAAAAAAACGTTTTTTTTATTATCAGTCTATGAGGAGAACAAAAGTAAACAGATTTTAAAGAATTCCATTAACTCTAAGTGGGAATACAAGAAAAAATAATCAATCCTTGTTTTATTTAATCAATTTCTACCAGTCTATTGTAAGGAAGAAATATATGCTCAATTTCTTTTTGTTAACACTACTCTTTGTAATAAATCTAATATAAATTTTAATAATTGAAATCATGACGACCGTTTCATTCTATTGTGGGACTCCTTAGCAATGCACATCCACGATCTCGCTTCGTGAGATTCGAACCCAGGACTTATCAGTCTCGCGCGTGAATGTTTAACGTCTAAATATAAATTAATAATTAAAGTAATAACTGAAAAATTAGAAAAGAAAAATGTATTTTGAATATGAAATGTTGTACAACAGAAGCATGCGCAAAAGTTAAATCACTATGTGATGAGTGAATAAATGAATGAATAAATAGTGTTGTGGTGTTGTAGTGTCTTTGCTTGGTTAATCGATCACCTCGATAACCGTTATAATATAAATCTCAACGGTGTTTAGAAATCAGAATGCAATGAGAAGCAGCAACTGCAGTTCATTAGCAGATAGCGCAGATTACAAAGCTATAAGCACATCAAGTGGATTTGAAGCAGAGAGGCGAATAAGTATATACGAGTAATTACATAGGTGAATTTATAGTCAAATTGCGTTAGGGCACAGCAAGGACGAATAATAGAATTTGAGTACATATATACATGGGGAGAAGGATGAATCATTGAGTGATATTTAAGCTATCGACTTTTTAGATAGATTCTGTCATGTGATTTAGTGATCATAACGGTACAAAGAAATATACGAATTGTTACTGTTAAGTAAGTTAATAAAAGGGCTTAGCCGAAATTAACCATAATCGAAATTGGTTGTAGGATAGTTGCTATAGTGTGTGCTACTGATGTCGTCACATATAAGTTGTATGTATCATCAAACGAAAATGGAATGCCTGACGGCAGAAGGTCGAGATCGAAGAGAAGAAAACGAGAACATAGAGCGATTGATATAAAAATAAAAGAACGGTATAGTCGGTGACAATTGATGATTCTTAGATTTTACCAAGAGATTCTGTAGTTTCGTACTCAAACACATTTGATTGTTCCCACTTGTGTTCTCATTCACTAAAATGTTTGCATACTTGTTAGAAAAATTGTTCATCTACCGTTCTACTAATTTTTATCTAAATTCTAGTGAAAGAAATAGTGCTTTTTTTATTGAGAATGAATTTAATTATGCAAATGAATGAATTCAACTTAATTTTAAGAAAATTATATGCATAACAGTCGTTCATTTATTTATCTTTAACATTCTGTATAGCTTTGGCAGTATTTCAGTAGTTGTAATTAACTAGAATATAACTTTTACTCTTTATGTATATAAAATCCAACGAAAATTGAAGCTTTGTTTAATATGATTTTTAAATAATTCTATTGTATTAGCTTTGTTTCATAAAATTTTGTTTCATTGAATGAGAATGATTTGATTGCTATCATTAAGTGTTCTTATTGTTTTATATACTAAATCATAGTCGTAGATAAACAAGTAATGTTCACTCTTGAAAATATTCTTTGTCATAGAATTTCATATGTCAGCAAACTATTGAAAACAATCGTTTTGTCTTAGTCTGAGATAATTCAGTGATGTGCTAATGTTCATCTTTCCGGGTATTGAGGTCAGGATATTTAGATCTCATGGCTAGTACGTTTCTTTTAAACCATTAGGTTGGAAATCAATATTGGTTGAAAATAATATTAGAAGATATGTATAAAGCAGTAGAGAGATAAGTAAAAATGACTGCCGAAAAAGATTACAACATGACGAAAAGTCATCACTATTCTTGACATGTATTAACGCGTTCCCATATTTGGAAATTCTTCATACAAACCGATTACAGAATATTACATAACTTTTTCTGGATAGTGAAAGATTTCTCTTTCTGTCATTGCAAAATTACTGTTTTAAGCAGAAATAGTGAGAACATATCCGATTCGAAATCATAGTTAAGAAGTCTCCGAGTTATATATGAACTCTCTGGTATTTAAAAGATTTGAGAGTATTTCACCATAATTCTTTTAAAGTTTTCTCAAAAAAAAGTACACTGTTTCCATATTCATAAACCAAATGATTTACAGCAATTAAATAAATTTAATAAAGAAGTAAGTTGTTATTAGATTGTGGATGATATTGTTTTCGCTTATTAGATACTGAAAAAAAGTCCGTAAGCTACAATTCCTGATAGTGGTAAATTTGAACTTAGCTTTTAAGTACCTGAATGATTCAGGTTGCTCCATTGTTTATATATTTGGTCAGAGATTAGAAAATAATATATTTCAAAATGAGCTACTTCTGTAGGGAATTGATATGACAACAAAACTGGTGATTGCTAATCTACCTGGTAGTTTTCTTCACAAGTAACACCCATATTTTAAGAAACTTTTATGTTAAGGATTTAGTCATTCATTTATCATTCTGTAAGTTGTTTCATTTCCTTTTGTTCTCATCCCATAGAGAAATGGCATCCTTAAACAACTATCATCATAGTGTTAACTATTTATAACACTAAATGAAAGTCTGTTTATTCAGAATAACAAAAATGTCATTTTTCTATTACACAAATGAATGTATATGTATGTGTCTCAGACTCCATTAAGTCAAGTAAGACCTTACTTTCATAGGTTACTTTTAATCAGTTGACCTTAATTTGTCTTACTGGTTCACTTCAAAATTCATCACTCTCATATAAAATATACTTTTTATCACTCATATACATAAATACCTTAAAGATATTTTTAGAAGGATTGTTTTAAACCATCAATTTTCTTCCTCCTGTTTCTTCACTTTCTCTATCACAATCATTGTCTTCTACTAGTTGAGTAATATATGTATGTGTGTTCAGAAAAGAAAGGGAATTTTCATTAAGGATCGAAAAATTTCCTCAAGATTTTTTGGTCAGTTAGTCAAATAAATAAGTAGAATAATAAACAAGCTAACAAGTCAGTTAACAAATAAACTAACAGACAAGTCAGCAGATGAACATGGATAGGCTGAATTCATTTTTAAAAAATATTTCTCATTACCCAGTCAAAGGACCATGCCAGCCCTGGGCTTAAAATAACAATAATCATAAGATTAAACATAATAATGAACATACAAGTGAAGAAGACTGTTTGTATATGAACTAGAAGAATTGTACACACACGAAGTCAATATGATTAGATAATAAATAAAGTATATATGACGATCTACACACGTATATCATATATAACTTTAGAAAAGAGGGAAATATTTGATAATGTGACAATATCTTAGATTATAAGACTCAAATATCAAATATATATTCTCTATATAAATAAATATATACATATATAAGTTGAAAAAATGTCTTATAATTCTGGCAAAAGTTCCCCAATGACATTAATTAAATTACAACAACCACACTCTTGGATTATTTCATCAAGACAGAATTACTTTTGAAAGAAAAAAAATTTGCAAACAACCGTCCACATTAATCTTTTTCTTTTCTTTACCATATTTATCACTAATTATTGTTACCGATGATGTAATCAAAAAAAGTTTAATCATTGAATGTAAACAATCTTCCAAATAAATAAAAAAATAATAAATCAACCGGTTTAATTAAGATAATTCAGATATTTACAGATGCGGAATGTATTTTGTATACTTTGTACTATTTATGTGTGCATAGAAATATTTACATCGTATATTAGTTGTGTAGAGTCTGATACTGATGAAAATGATGATGAACCGAGTAAGTTTCTACGTTTTATACTGTTTTAATGTTTACTTTATCCAATTTAGTTTAAATTAACTTATTCGGTATAAACTACACTCTATGTGTAAAAGCTAATGATATTATTCGATTGCTCAAACTAAAGTAAGTGAAATGATCTTTTTATCTGGGAAATACTGGTTGAAAATGGAATGTCTGAATTACTAAACCATCGCTGCACAATCTAAATATTATTATTGATTTGGTAAATTTGAGTTTATTTTCCATATGAGAAATTAATATGATGACATTCTCTTTGTTAGCTAATGAATGACTTATGCAATGCTTGATATTACTGAAGAAACTATACGGGTTGTAGGTATATGGGTAAATTTATGTTTAATTGTTCATCTTAACGGTACAATAAAATAAATATATGATGTAATTGTGCTTGAATTGTAATTAAACAATTATTTACCAAAATTTATTTATTTACTAATTTACTTACAGTATTCGTTCATTGGAGAGACTAGAATTTGTGGATGAGCCAATCAGGTATAAGATAACAGGTCTCGGATTTTGGAGCGAAATTCACCCATCCATTTGGCTAAATATAATTTGGGCATTATAGCTGATGTCATTTCGTGATGCAAACCCTAAATGTAATTCCTAGCCCTCACCATCAACTATAAATCATAATTCTAATTCTTCACACAGGTTTATAACCCTTATTTGGTCATGGTTATTAGGTGTACACTCTCAAGGTCACTTTAGCGTCGTTCAAAGGTCATCCATAAATTATAGTCTCACCGCTATTTGAATGTGTAAAACTATTCATACTTATAATGAAACCATTCTCAATGTAATTAACGATAGCTTTAAATTTACTTACGAGTAAGTTGTAAATTGATGAACTAGAAAGACGATTAACTGTCTTTTTGAATTATTGCTAGTTTCAATAGATTCAACAGAAATATACTTTACAATTTTCAGAAGGGGTTTTGCAGAGATTTTAGCAGTTTTATAGTCGAATTCATGAGTCGATTGAAACTAGACCAACATGGAAAACCTGGAAGCACTAGACGGGCGTTTCATCACAGTATGGGACTTATCAGCAGTGCGCATCCACTATCCCGTCCGGCGAGATACGAGCCCAACACCTATCAATCTCGCATGCGAACGCCTAACCTCTAGACCATTAAGCTGTGATCCAACGCTGTTAATGTCTAATTTCATTCCAGTGCTCTCAGGTTTTCAATAATGGTCTAGGTTCAATTGAATCATGGATTCAACTATAAAATTATATTTATTTGCTTGATAAACTATATATATCCAGTATTCTTAAAATTAATATCTAGCGACAGATAATTTTTTGTATTAAGAGTTGTGAATATATGACAATTTATAAAAAATGTTTTATGGTTTATCACTTCATCTCAATCAAAGTTAGTTTATTGAATCATTTGAGAAAATTAAAAATTGAATACCAGTTATTCAGATCCATTTTTTAAATCATTCTAAATAAATTGACAATTTACAAATTTTGAATGATATTGAAGAAAAATTTGTAGCTTAGTTAGATGATTTAGGTGAGGTTTTGGTTTTTCAAACTGAATGATTTGGTCGTGAAGCTTTTAGTGTTCTTCTGAACAACAACAGAAGAAGTACTTCGACAAACTTTTATTGTCATAAATATTTAAAAGTTGTCGATTGTCAGAAGAAGAGATTTCATTAAAGTTTAATACTTCCAGTGCTTTCAAGTTTTCAATGCTGGTCTAATATTAATCAGTTCATGATCTCAATTAAAAAAGTTAATAATATCTACAACCTTATACTGTTAATGACTTTTATTTAATAATTATTAGTCTCCATAGAGTTTCTATTAAAAATCACAATTGTAATGACTATTAAAATTAAATCATATAGAAAAATCTACGTAGACTATGGAATGTGCAAATAACTCCTTAACCATACTACTTATAATATATGGCTGTAATTTTCATTCTGTAATGCTATCATAACAAAACTAATCGAAATATAGTAATATAAATGTCATTATTTTGCGAAAAATCTGCATTCAATTTTTCGTATCTAAGAGGATTGAATAATAATAGGAACAATAACGGGGCAGATTTGCATACATATAGCATACAATTCTCTTTGAACATAGCACACAACAATACCGTCATGCACTTTTCCATCACCCTTGGAAGATCAGACAACACGAAAGTTACGAGAACACCATTTGGACATACGACAGGCTAGATACTTCCAAAAATCAAGTAGATATGAACGATTTGATATTGATGCATTAGCAAAAGTAATGCTCAGTTGTGAGAGATAATAAGTACTAATTTCAACAATTTTTTACGTATTTGCTTTACGTTTAAAAAACCGTTGTGAATGACATAAGACATTACCATTGGCTAGTAGGTTCAGTTTAAGAATGGTTATACTATTTAGTGATACTATTTTTTCTTAAAAGCTTTCCTCTAATATTTGAATTCGACTCATAACAAAATTGGTAGCAATAGGAAAATTTAAAGACAAACAATATACACACAAATCTGGGTCAGTTAAATTTATACCAGATTGTTAAAAGATTCATAATTTCCCAAACCATCGGTGGTGGTGGTCTAGCTTAAATCGATTCATGAATTGAACTATTGAAATTGTTACAATCTCTACAAATTCCCATCTTGATAATTACTGATAATTTCATATTTCAGTAAAACATGGCAAACTGATAAACTTAATTCATTTAATTTATCAATTCATACTAATGACTACGCCTTATCTACAGTTGCATTTTCTTTTTTTAATGACATGAGTGAAAACACCAAAAAAAACATGAGAAAAAGTATTTTTTAAATTTCAACAGTTGAGATCATGAGTCAATTGAAGTTCGAGTCCCATATTAGGACAAAACGGCCTTCCAGTGCTTCTAGGTTTTCTATGGTGGTCTAGCTTCAATTGACTCATGATCTCAACTGTTTAAATTATTACAATCTCCACAAAAACCCTTTCTGATATTGTTTTAATGTTTACATTAATTATTTCACTCATTTTTCTTTTATTCATTTGTTTTTCTTTTTTCTTTCATGAATAAAGATCAATATCTTTTCCCCATTCTTTGCATAATTAATTATGATGATGATGAAAATTTATTTTGACCTCAATAATCTAAACGATCCATATCGAATTATTTAAGTTAATCAAAAGATAAGTAATCGGAGTAAAAGATTATCACTGTTATTGATTTTAGCTTATAGAAAAAATTTTAATGTATAGAAAGGTAGAATGAAATGAGTTAATTCTTATCATTATGATATATATTATTGATGAACTCGGAAAGATGATCTTTGCTGATGTTAGTATATATATATGCATATAGTTACATAAAATGGTTCATTTTAATGCCTTTGTTTTATTTAATATCTGTTTATCATGACAGTATAGAAGTAAAACTTGATTATAGATAGAAAAAGTACTATCAATAGTTAATATTATGAGTCAATTGAAGCTAGATCACCATGGAAAACTTGGAAGCACTGAACCAAATTGAAAATAATTCTAAACCTAGCACAAATCAATAAAGCGTTCAGATCTGTTTTTTTTGTTTTAATTGATCGTATCTAATATTCTTGCTTTTATTTCTTTATACTATTTAAATTTGGTTTAATTTGAATTTGATGAATTTATTCTCGGAAGAAATGGTTTACACTAAGTCATAAAACGTCAAAAAAATCCCATCTTTTTTCTGCTCATTGAAATATTAGAAATATATTACTATTTGTTGATAACAATCTACTCAGTACTCAATTTATTTGAACTTTATAAGTCAGACTTTGGTAATGATACCTATAAAGTTAGATTGTTTCGTTTTTTTTTTTGTTTTTCCTACCGGGTTTCTCTTTTTTTGGACAAATGTTATTACTCATTTAATGTTTTTAGTTAAATATTACTAAAAACTATTTCATTCAACTGATAGATAGGTTTTTGTATTTTATTTTCAGTTAGTTTTCCAACTATTAGATAATATTACTTACTTTTTTTTACTTACTTACTTACGTCTGTTACTCCTCATGAAGGAACATAGGCCACCCATCTACACTCTACATCTAATCTTGTCATGGACAATTCTTTCCAACTCTTTCCACTTGTTATTCATCCTTTTCATACCTGCTTTTATTTCCCGAAGTATTGTGCTCTTTATCCTTTCTCTTTTACGCTTCCCTATATAGCCTATTCAGATCATGATTACATTAGTAATGATTAATGATGAACATAAATATTTGAATCAACTTAGTTGAAAAATCATTACAACATTTCAAAATCATGCAATCTGTGGTTTCATTAAACATAAAACTTTTTTAAAAAGAACTTAACATTGTGATTGTTCGTATTTGAGATAATATATTTTGTAACTATGTGTTCAACAAAGCTTCATTGTAAAACCCTGAATTAAATAATAATGACAACTCAAATATCATAGACATAGAGTTCATCGGGCATTATTTGCCGACTCTGGGACTGGTTGGAAGAAGCGGAGAGGTGGTCAGTGCATGACATGGTGTCGTGGTATGAAAGAAAGCTGCAAAGGACTGGCTTGTGTTGGTCCTTCACGACTCCCTGGTTGGGGTCTGAGAGATGGTGTTACACAGTGGCTAGAGACGTTATCAGATATGGCTCAGAATAGAAGCTAGTGGTGATCCTGCTGTAACCTTCTTTTACTTTCTTCATAAAAAGTGGTTGTGTCTCCCTTACCTGAAAGATTTCTTCTGATTGTACCTTTGCGTTCCCTGATTACTAGCACATTACCTTACACCAATCTCTTCGTTATTGTTCTCTCTTTTTTTGTTGCGCTCCTTAGCTTTTTTTTCTTTCTTTGTATTCATCTCGAATTTTCATTGTTTTGTGTGGCGCATATATATTGGCGCTCTCTTGTACCAATATTCATGTGTCCAAATAAATAAATAATAAATAAATAACTCAAATATCATTTAATACTGCTAACGTAGAGTTAAAATTAAGAACAG